AAGACAGGTTGAGGAATCAAAGCAATAACAATGTTTAAAAGGACATCATCAGGGCCGAGCCTGTGGCGTACTCGGGAGAGTGCAGCGCTGGGAGCTCAGCAGCGCTCCAACCGTGGGTTCGGATCCTATATAGGGATGACCGGTGCGCTCACGGCGCTCACTGGCTGAGCGCGGTGCGGCCGGTCTCAAAAAGGACAAAAAAAAAAAAAAAGGACATCATCAGCAATGAAAAGAACAAATTGATTCTCCTGCTGTGCTATAGGATTCCGGTTCCCTAGGGCTGCAGTGAGAAGGCAATCTCTCGAGTACTCGCCTTGGCAAACGAGGGAATGACATGGCTTCCCCCAGAATGCTTGTTCTACCCTCATAGCTGTTGGGATTTCTTGTCATAGATTATTTATTCAGTGAACATCGGGAGGCAGATACCCCATAAGTCTGGATTATGCAGCGTGCCTTGCAGGCATCCTGCCCCCCACCTGAGGCCTGCCTTTTCCAGGCATTCAGAGAAGAATCATCTCCATACACCTCCATTTAATTGCCAATCTGACATCTTGGTTTCTGTTGTAGAATAAAGACCCCAAGATGGCTCGAGTTGCACTGGAATCTCTCTACAGATTACTTTGGGTTTACATGATTCGAATTAAATGTGAAAGCAACACAGCTACTCAGAGGTAAGGAATTGGCTTGTATTAATGGTAACCACATCATTAGGTTAATGGTGACCACATTTCTCAGCCACAGCAAAGGGTGTTTTCTTTTATTGCTACTTTCACTAACCCTGCTAGAAGCTGTTCAAAGCTGACAGTTTCTAAAAGATGCGGAGTCCTAAGAGCATTTCCAGACTGTCCTTAGTCACTGGCTCAGCAGTCATTACAGAAAATCCAGCCTCCACCAGGATCAGCGAGTTTCACTTCAGGGTTGCATGCGCCACTTTAACGAAGAAAACAGCTATAATTTTCCAACTGCCCTTAGTTTCCCAGAAAAACTTTTCATAGAGGAATTATGCTAATGCAAAAGGGTGAGGTGATTTGTTTTCTTTTTCTGAATTCTCTCTGATATTTAGATAAACTGAAACGCCTGCTATTTTCCCTTGAACAACTGGAGCTCAGCCAATGTTGCTTGTTTTCTCTCTTTCCCCTTATCTTCCAGCCGACTTATAACCATCATCACAACACTCTTCCCCAAAGGGTCTCGTGGTGTGGTGCCAAGGGACATGCCTCTGAACATCTTTGTGAAGATCATCCAGTTCATTGCCCAGGTAATGGAGAAGTTTCTGGCAGTGAGAATCTTCTAATTGCTTTTAAGCAGCCAGTCTCCTTCTTATGAAATCCTAAAAGATGAGAAGTCTAAAACAATATCTTACATGTTTAGACTTTTCAGAAAGGTTTTGAGTGTTTTCACACACAACCTATTCTTTTGCTTCAAAACAAATAGTGACGTGAGTACATCAAGTGTTTTCAGGACCTGGCAAACAAAGAAAGTGAGAAATAGTGGAAGTGACTCACTGAAGTCACAAAGCCTGTCGGCGAAAGAGCTTCTTGACTCTTCGTCTCTGTTTTTTCCTGATTCTCTGCTCTGGATTCTGCACATAAGGAGGAAGCAAAAGGTCTGAGGGAATCAAAAGACAATTTAGTGAAATTTAAGGAGTAAATAATTATGTTCTAATGTTAACCCTGTGAAAAAGAAGAATTTAATAGGAATATTACCATTTATCAAGCACTTAACTCTTTGCCAAGAACTGTTCTAAGTATTAATTTACTTAAAAACTAGGTCCAGTAATATTAAACATATTTTTAATAGGTACTATACTATTAAGACATGAGATTTTTACTTTTTAAAACACTTTGTCAGTAAATGACTTAACCCCAACTTTGACCTCCTTGTGATTTACAGAGGAGCAGAAAAACACTGTCATTTCTGTCCAGCCTCTGCCACAAGCCATCTCTATAACCTTAAACAAGTCAGAGAGGGCCGGCCCGGTGGCGCACTCAGTACAGTGCAGCGCTTGGGAGCGCGGTGGCGCTCCCGCCGAGGGTTCGGATCCCATATAGAGACCGGTCCGCTCCGGTGCGGGCGCGACACCAAGGGTTGCGATCCCGTTGCCGGTCGCAGTATGGGCGCGACACTGAGGGTTGCGATCCCGTTACCGGTCACGAAAAAAGACAAAAAGGAAAAAAAAAAAAAAACAAGTCAGAGAACATCCTTTTCCTCAGTTTCTTTATCTGTAAGATGGGGATGAGAATGATTGCCCAGTGTGCTTCAGATATCGTATGGATAAAGGGAAATGATAGGCATGAAAATACTGTTGATACAATTGATATTGATATAAAGATGTAAGGTTCAATTGTTACTTCACAGACTATTTACTATATGATATCTCTTTGTGTGCTTGGTGCAATGAAATACCTCTGTAATATTTGTACGTAGGAAAAGAACGCTACTTGCAATGTAGATGAAAGAGTTAATGTATCTTACCTACCTGTAGTTATAGTGTGGCTGAGAATGTGCTTTGATAATTCTGGAATATGTTATAAAATGAACCTGCCATATCTTAGTAGCCAGTGTCTCGAATTATTAGAATCTGGCTTAAGTGCTCTCATTTAAGTAATCTTAATATGTCTTATTTGTTTTTT